TATATATATATATATAAAAATATATACGTCGTTTGTGTGTTTCAGCCATTTGGACTCAGCTCAGCCACTGCAGAGGAAACAATGACTTCAACTCAAAAGGTGAGGAAAAATATCTCAGTTACACTGTTATTGAAACTGTGTGCACAGCTGGATGTTAACAGCAGCTTTATCTTTTCCATCCTTGTTTGGAATTCATAGGGAAGGGATTTGGTGTGTGGTAAACAGGTAAATGAACTTTTTTTTTTTTTAATTATTTGAATATATATGAGCGTTTGTGTATAAATACACACATGATACACACATGCTTTCAATTGTGTAATTTAAGTGATCTAGGTAGCTCTGTTTTGGAAGGTCAGTTAACGCTAGAAATGTGTTTTGGAGTTAGTACGTGCCTTGTCTCTAGAGGCCACCGTATATATAAATAAAACCACTGTAGTAATTATTTTTTCTTTTTTTTTCTTTTTTTGCACAATTTTATATTTTTGTTAATAATAAATTAATTAAACCATCAAACAACCTGAAGAGCAGGTTGGGAGCCGAAAGAGCCGTCTCTTTTTAGTGAGCCGAGCCGGAAATCCCATCACTACTAGCAAACACGCTTTGCTTGTGATTGAAAAAAGGAAAAGCACTCCTTCCCTATTGGTGGGAAAATATACCATTTCAACCAATCAAAAAATTATATGGCAACATGTGGCATCTGGTTGTTTGGGAAGAGGGGAAGTTTTAGGAATGACCAGTGAAAGAGAGAGAGAGTTTTGATACGTGAGAGATTTGTGACGTTTTACCGTATTTGGAGTCTCAAGTTAGTGTGTCATCTTGTGTAGTTAGTGTGTAGTGTAGTCGTTGTTTTGTTTTGTGTGTCAATTATCAGTGTTGGGTGTAATGCGTTACTAAGTAATGCGTTACTGTAATTAAATTACTTTTTCAGTGGAAAAGTAGAGTAACTAATTACTGTTCAATGTACTTGTGTTACATTGTAAAATAATTAAACTCGCAGAATATCATTACTTAACTTCAATAATTGATCTTCTAAACGTAGAAGTAAACTCTGCCGCTTTAACATCGCTGTAGTGCAGCTGCGCGTCATTTCCCACCAGTTTGCTGCACAGTCGTATTCTAAAGCAGAAGATGTCGGACTCGGCTGAAGCGAGTGGCTGTTTTATGAAATGGACATATTCCCGTCTCTTCACTTTTCTGAAACAAGCAGACAAGAACATTACAGTAAAATGTAAGCTATATCCTGGGGAGAA